AAAAAAAAAAAAAAAGAGAGAGAGAGACAAATCAAAGGACGCAGGGGTCAGAGAATTATGAAACTTCAAAATACGAATGATTTACAAGCATCCCAGTCATACTGAGTGCTTCTGGTTTTGAATTTTTATCCCGCACAAATTATTTAGCCTGTAACGTTCCACCGTCAAGAATAGTCTCCTTCGGTTACTGTAGGACTTTCGAAGAGCAAATCGAGCAACTGAAGATGAGGCGGTGTTCTTGGAGTTACCTGACCTCACTCTCACAACGGTCTATTTTGCTATTTTTATCAGAATTCATCATTTTCATATTAACCCAATTAGCGTCCAGTTTACCAATACCTCGTTTTTTAATTTGCAGCTTCCTTCTAAAAGCTTGGGGGAACTTTCACAACTCCATCTGTCCTCCCTCGTTACTGACAAATAATTAGTCAAGGAGCTGTCCCCGATCAAAAGAACCCGGAAACAAGTCGGAGCACGCCTCGCTCCAGAAGGAAACGTGACAGGAGACTCTTCTAATTGCGAGGGGACTGGCTGAGAGTCCTGACGGCAGCCGGCGGAGACTGTGGAGGCAGGAAGGAGAGAGACACGCTCTGAGTCGTGAGTCGTGAGCAGCGACAGCTCATTAAATACCTCGGCATTTGCGTCTCCGTTGACAGGACAATGACCGGCAGAACCTTTCTTCCATGATTTGGGGGTGACTCCACGCTGCCTTGCGCATAGTGCAAATTACGAGGACCCCAAAGCGAGGATGGTGAGTAGCCTTGCCTGCTGAGTCCTGCGCCTTGTCTGGGCGGTTGGATTCACAGGAGCCAGCCGCCTCTAAAGAGGGAGCACAGCTTCCCTTTGTGGCCTGACCATCTGGCCAGCGTTGCTGGATTTTCTGCAGGAGCGAGACCCCTCTCTGTGGCCCAGCCAAGGCCTCCCACAGACTCTACCACCACCGCAACCATCTCACAGCCAGGAAGGACCCACACTGGACCCAGGCTACTCCTCCGTTCCCCACAA